AAGGAGCAACCCTAATTCAGTCCTGACATGGCCGAGTACATTGAGATTCAAAACCATACCTCTAAGTGTTAGGCAGCCTTAATAGCTGGAGTTATAAATTCTGGCTGCTTCAAATTTTGGGGTCTTTGATTATTTCCACTATAAGTATGAAAACAAGCATTATTATTTTTTAAATTTTTTTTAAATGAAATGAAATGCTTCCCCATCTCAAGCTGTGAGCAATAATTAATCTGAAATAAGGGAGTGTGGATTCCTTGTAATGACACACTAAGGAAGTGAAAGGTGTCAGGGTTCCTGCCAAATCAGGGCTACTGAGAACCAGAATGGAAGGGTCAACAGGCTTTAGGGACTCCCAGGGTTTTAAGATTTTTTTAAAAAAACTTCAAAAACTCTAAGGGGCACACCCATAAAAGAAACAACCCAGAAAAATCAGAGGATAGCTACGGAAGACTTATAGCTGGAAGGGGGGGGGGGAACTATTTTATGGGGCAGGTGACATGTCCTACCAGAGTCTGTTAATAGATTGTAGTGTCTTGTAGGAAGGTAAAGCTGGCAGCAAATCAACTGCGGCCAGTAAAATGAGGCCTTCTTTCAGGTAATGTTTGATTTTTTTAAAAAACTTATTCTACATGTTTGAAAAGTCCTCCCTTCTTTTAACTCCCTGTCCCTTCATACAGTTCTGACATCTGACCCTTGATGGGTGTTCATGCAGCCTGCAATCAAAGAATTCACCTTTCAGAGTGTTGCTTCCTACTGAGGCCCTTTGAAGTGTGTGATTTTGACATACAAGAACTTGGTATCATGTTTATGCAGCAGACAATGAACTGTTGTCATGCAAACTGCCACAGATGGCTTCTGGATGTCAGCTTGTGAGCTTTGTAGGTGTGCAATGTGTTTGTTTTTATCCAGGACTCTTCATCCTCTACAGATTTCATGTCTTCAGCGAAGCAGAAGGCTGATATATTGTGTCCCTCTCCATCGCATTTTAATGCTGCTGTGTAGATGCCACGCATACAGAAGGACAAGGATGTACAAAATATTTTGCTGCTGAGTAACAATGAACTATTTATGCCCAGCACCCTATTTTAGAATGGAGGTCTCATTTTTCCCCTCAAACAATTTTCACAGAAGCCTTTCTCTGCCTTGTTATGGGGAAATTATTATGTTTCTATGTCATTTACAATTTTCTCACTATTCCTGAGTTTGCCACCCAGTGTGATAGATTGCTGGCACTGACTTTATTTGAATTGAAATCTGTTTACTAAAATCCTTTCGCAGCCTTAAGTGAGATGCCTAAATTGACATGACATCCCCCCTACTGTCATCTGTGGGTATGATGCATTTTTCCCATCCAAAAATAAAAAATAAAATAAAATAAATGCACAAATTATTTTCTGTCTGTATTGGTGAATTACGCTCAACCTGGCTAGACTTCTTCCTTGGCAGTAACTACTTACTAATTAATCATTTTCCTTTTGCTGGTTTGGCAGGATGGGGGAACAAGATTTAAAGGGAAAACTAATGGGGAATATACACCAGAAGACTCAAGACAGTATAATAAGTGCACAGATTGTATCAGCTGCTATCGTAATTGCATCTTTAAAGGAACAAGACAGACTAGGGGAAAAAGATATAAATGAGAGTATTGCTTCAAAGTAGAATGGGTGGAATAATGTTTCTAAGGCAAACACTGGCAATAACAATCCTCCTCATCATGATACAGCCAGGTGAAGCAGTCTGGTTTAGACTTTAGAATGGGGGTAAGCAGAGGTAGGCAGAATCTCTTTGGACTGTACAGCATCATTTTTTGAAGAGAGTGAGTGGCCAGCTCTATTTTCAGGAACAAACTATCTTCAGTGGCGGAGATACACATGTACAGTATTTGTTATGATTAGTGGATCCCCAAAGATGTGAAGTCAAGAAAGGATCCTGTGACACCTTTGAGACTAAAACGTTTTATTTGGGATAAGTTCTTGTGGCATGCAACCCACTTCTTCAAATGCAGGCTGTGGTGAATACCTAGGTCAGAGTATGTGAGTTTTAGGGGTGCCCTGGATCTCTGTTCTTTTTGCTAAAACAGATTAACACAGCTGTCTCCCAAAAAGTTTTTGTGACTGCCCTGTGGCCAAGCAAGATCAAGAAGGATTCTAGGCTACAGTATTGAGAGTGCTATGGTGATTGATTATGTTGTTATGTGAAGGTTTTGTGTGACTGAATTCCAAGGTCTAGCATTCTGTTCTAGCAGTAGGTGGAGAAAGCTGTAGCATTACCGTATGAATTCCAAGGTCTAGCATTCTGTTCTAGTAGTAGGTGGAGAAAGCTGTAGCATTCTATTGTTCTACAAAGCACCAGGTTTCAGGGAACTCAAGTTCATTGTCTCACAGATTTCAGGACAGAACCAAAATACACTAGAATGAAAGGTTTACACTTGATATTAGAAAACATACTGTAATTACTTTTTAAAAAACCATTCTGATTTATTCTGTATTTGTGTGTGTGCATGCTTCAACTTGTTCACTTTTCATAAACTGGAAAGACTTAAGAAATATTAGATTTCTTAATAATCAGGCACTCAAAGTTTCACTTCTAACAACATTTTAAAGTAAGTTGAACAGGTACATTTGTAATGGCCGTCAGAATAAATTAGATATTGTACCCCCAAATATTTATGGGTTTGTTTTGTTTTTATGCATACATACACATCTGCAGTGATTCTTTCCCCCCCCCACAGCTTTGAAATTTTCATTTTTAGAGACAGGACAAGCTTTACTTAACTTGCATAGTCAGCCACTCCATGTGAACAACATGATGGCCAACTCGTGTACTAGAAAGGTGATGCCTCACCCCAAGATTTTGAGGGGCTGCCCGCTGCAGTCACATGCCTCCTCTGTTTACCCCACATTGACAACTAGCAGAGTAGATTGTTTGAAGCAGTTGGCATAGATGCATGAGTACACTCGTTTTGTCAGCAGTGAAATAGTGTCATGTCAGTGCTGTTTTCTCATGCTACTGTTTTGATATTCAGCATGTGAGATACCATCTTATAGAGGGCTACAGAGTAAGTAGGTGACAAGGGAAGATTTTAACTAGACAGGGGATGAATATAAAAATGAATCAGGATATTTGTTAAATATCCCTGATTCATCAGATATTTGTTGTTTCGTATTCTTGGGGTCCAGAGACCCCATCAAATATGAAGCAATGAATATAACCCTTTTATATTTTTCCTTTCATTCCCTATTGGCTTATGCCTCTGTGGATCAGCTGTTCCTTGGGGGCATAGGAAGGCTGAGGGCAACGCGGGCTGTCTTAAAAAATGATCCAACAAACAACAAATTGTTTCATTGTTCATTGGGTTACTGGGAGGGCATTCATGGTTAATAGGTCATCAAGTTTGAAGAACTCCAAACCAGGATGAAGAGCCACTTTGGTGCTTCGTCCCCATCTCTGATTTTAACTTGATGAAGCCTTGATTTACAGTTCGAAAACTTGGAAAGTTACTTAAAGATAACCAGCTCATTATTTATCTTGTTACTCTCCCAAGCAATTCATTCTGACTTGTTCTATTACTGATTTGCTATTCGTTGGTCTGTTTTTTTTCACTATTTCCTCCTAAGATTAGCAAGGGAATGTAATTACTGTATATTTCAAAAATCCACCAGATATTCCTTTTATTTTATTCTACAAAAAATGCTCTTGTATTACTCATTGCATTCCCTTGTGATTATTGCATCATTTACTGTAATTTCCATGTGAATGTTTTATGGATGTGAAGACTGTTGATTAAATTCTTTGTCCTCACCAATTAAAATTCTTATCATGACAGTTTTCAGACCCAGAAGATTCCTAACCTCAAGTGAGAGAAGGCGCAAACAAGCATTTTGTTTTGCTCAGAATGACTCTGCACAAAAATGTTATTTTTCCCTTTGATAAGCTATGCACACATATACTCAAAGAGCACAGAAGGACTGGCTGACTGACAAACAAATGCACACACACACACACACACACACACACACACACACACACACACACAAATCCATGTAGTGCTTCTCATTTCTGAACATCCATGATCAACAATTGTTGTAATAAATACAAAAACACTAGTTAGGACTGATAGAAAGAAAAAAAAATATTGCACTCTTTCAGGTTTACCATTTCTCATTCTTGTGTGTGAAAGTTTCAAAATCAAATTATTATGTTCCAAGAAAATATAAGTTATCTCTAAAACTTTTTGAAATAAAATATTGCATGTTTAAATACAAGGCACATGACAAGCTTTATCCAAAAGCCTGCATTCCATTCCTAACAGAATCTGGAACGGAGGTGGGCAGCTTGTGGATGGAAACTTCCAGCAGCTCTTGCCAACTTAGTCACTGGTAAAGGATTGCAGGAGTTTTCATCAAACAAGATCCAGACAAGTTGTCCTCCTCTGTTCTAGAGATGCCTAATTGGTACTAGTATAGAAAATAGAGTCTGGGATGCATATCCAGGCCAAGAGATCACAGCCAATAACACCAATTCAGTTTTGACCCTTAAAACCCTGAATTATTTGGGTCCCGGTTCCTTGAAAGACCCTCTGATTCCATACAAACCATTCTGTGACTTAAAACCAGACTGTGGAGCTAATGCTGAGGTCTACCAGACCAGAAGTTACTAGAGGCAAGTATTTTCCGGTAGCTGTGCTAAAATTTTGGAGCCTGCTCCCAACTAGATGATTCTCTATTTTTAGAAGACCTGTAAACCGTGTTTGTTTCAAACTGCATTCTATTAAATACGTTGCAAGTTGTGTTTAAACTGTTTCTGAATTGCTCTTGATTTTAGTCTTTGTAATAAGAGTATTCCATTTGTTGTTTAACATTTATTTTCTAGTTTAAATTCTCTTTTATGAGTACCCTTGAGAGATGCTTTGCCTTGAAAATGTGTGCTGTTGCATATATCTGCACTTACCAATATCCTTTGTTCTTATGGCCGCTTTCATTTTCTTTTCCTCCTTGTAGAATCTGATATTGCTGATTTTGATGGGAGGAGCGCCCTCCTCTACAGGTTCAATCAAAAACTGATGAGTACCTTCAAAGATGTTGTTTCCTTGAAGTTCAAGAGCATGCAAGGAGATGGAGTCCTGTTTCATGGAGAAGGGCAGCATGGAGATTACATTACGCTGGAGCTGCAAAACGGGAAGCTTTCTTTGCACATCAACCTGGGTATGTATGTTTATACAGTTTAGTATATCTTGCGTAAAGGTAGTAGTTTGGGTTGATGATATCCTTCAGTTTGTTATTCGTAAGGTATATTTGTTAAACAGATTTGGAGGAATGGAACAATGCAATGGGCTGGCTCCATATATTCTGTTTTGTTACTATATATTTATATTTTTACTGACTCAAAATGAATACCATTGTATTCCTCATGGTGATCAGAATGCAAACTTTTTTGATATATAAGCAAAGGATACTGTTGATGTGTTACATTTTTTTTAAGGTTAGATGGCAAAGCGGGGATTGGGACTTGTAGCCCATGGGCCTAATATGGCCTGTAAGACCTCCCAAAATGAGCATTTTCTGAAGAGGCATGATAGGAGAAGGGCTCTCCTTCCTATTCTGAACTGTGCAACATCAGCATGAAAAAAATTTTGCCCTTCCCCTGCAGCAAAATAGTAACACTGCTTTAAAAAAAATAGTGACATTGCAGAGGGGAAAGGCAATAGATGGGTGTATATAGGTTGTGGATGGGAATGGATGGAGTCTAACAATCTAAGTCCCGAATCAGTGCCTGGGAGCAGAACTGGGCCAGGTGAGGGTCAAAAAGTTGCAGTTGAATCCAGTGTTCCCTCTAATTTTCCAGAGCACCGGGCAGGGTGCTTCCCTGTGCATGCAGCCGTCTGGCCGTGACCAGAAGCAAATCGATACCCCTGATGCTGCACTGTGTGGCCACGTGGCTTAGAGGGAACATTGGATCCTATCGAGATAGCTGTGTGGGAGTGGTTCCAGCTTTGGAATTGGGCTGCTGGTTTGGTCTGGACGGGGTTGCACTTTCCCATCCTGAAGGACCAGGCTCCATCAGGCAATACTTGAAGTATCTTTGTCTCTGGAGGTCCAGTTCAAATTGATGGGTAATGTTCATCATATTCTCTCTGAGCATTAGTCATTGTGGGCCATTACTTGGACCATAAGAACAGAAGAGCAACCAAAGAAGGCTATAGTAACATATTTTGCAGAGGAAAAACCATCCATGTAATAATCATAGGTATTTGTTGTTATTTTTCACCTTGACTCATCCTGCATTGTGAGATCCATTTATTTATTATGCAATGTTGTTACATTACATCACAAAGCAGTTTGAATTTATGATGTTGTTCTGTCTGTCCTACTCTCTGGTCTTCAAAACAGAGTGATATTTGCATTTGTGCTGATTTTCTGTTGAAGATTATATTTGAGAGTGCTGTGCCGTTTCTACCTGAAGTATTGTCCTCTGCAGGATTTTGCTATCTTTCTGTTGCTCCTGCCAATTTCAGGCTGTTACACTGCTCAGTTTTTTCCCCCCTCTCTTTCTCTCTCTGTGCGCGCGCACACACACACACACACACACAGACACCGGGCATATTTCCCTGCTTCTACTCCAGTAAATCTCCTGATCTCTGAAGGGGTCCAGGAGGGATTCCTTGCTGGGAAAACCATCAGCAATTGCCAGCGTTGAGCAAATTGATGGGTACTAGGCATTAGCTAATAGTGCCTTTTGGCAACTTGCCTTCCACTTCCAATGTGGTCATCTGCTTGCAGTGATCCAAAGAATGAGAATCTCAAGACTGGATTAACACAAAGCAGTTTATGTGGGGCTGCCCTTGAGACAGACTTTTCAACTTCATTTCCTTCAGACCTCAGTGGTTAGGTTACTAGATTGCCTAGACTTTTGTGAAATGTTACACCTTTCCCGTAACAAATTCTCTGGCTAAATATATGTTTGTCCTCCAGGTTTGTGGTATTTATTTTTATCATATAAGGCCTTCAGCAACATGGCACCAAGTTTAAGGAGTTAAAATGTGAGCAGACAAGATCCCATGGAAAACTATGAAATCTGCATCTTGATTCTACAAATATTATTATTCAAGTCCCACTCTTTTCAGTGTGATTTGCTCCCAGTTATTTGTACACTAGACTGCAGTTTTGGAAACACAGATTACATTTGTGGATGATTTGAATCTTAGGCCTTGGCTAGACAGCTTAATTGGATTGGACTGGATTAGGCTAGAGTTGTATAACATTACAGAGAGGTGCAGTATATTATTAGCCCTACTGCTCTTTAAAGAGAAAGAAAAAAGAAAGGGAAAAATCACTTTCCTTCCCCCGCCTATTTCCTCTTCCTTCTAGAAGAATCTCTCTCTCTCTCTCTCTCTCTCTCTGTGTGTGTGTGTGTGTGTGTGTGTGTGTATTTTTAAAAGGTCTACCACAGCAGTACTGCCTTAACTATGCTTTAAAAACTTTGTTCCCTCTCCTCCTCCATGCAGTTTTTAATTTCCCAGTCTCATTAAGTGGCTAAGATGTCTGTTTAAGCCACTTAATGATACTGGAAATTGAAAATGGATGGGAAATTGAAATCAACAAGCCATCCACCTTGGTTCGATTTCAGAAATTGCACATGCTGGAATCAAAGCAAAATGAGGCGATCCTACTTGCATCTAAAAAAAGTGGACCCTGACAAGGAGCCAAAATAGTGCTAGTAGGAACTGTGTTGGGATGGGCTCATTCGTGCTGGCATTTATATTGTCTGGTCACCAGAAAAAGGCACAAACCATCCCATCCCAAAAGCAGACCAAACTGCTGAACAGATTGCTACTTAGTTGCACTGTTATATCTTCTCCATTCATTTACACATGCAGTATAATCTTAAACATATTTATCTGAAAGTAAGGCTCATGAGATCATGTCATTGAGATTCACTCTCAGATATATTTAACTGTAAACCAGATTGTCAACAGTAAATTCCATTTATTGCAGTAGGGTTACACTCCCAAGTAAGTGAGTATAATAGAATTCTAGCCTTCAGTGTGAATGACATTGTGATTGGGTTCTTGCTCCGGGGGAGGCGGGTCCCTCTTTTCAATGGGAAAAATAGACGGAGAAGAAGATAATGGTAAAAACATGGTTTCTTTATTTCTTTTAGCTTCTTGGTTATCAACATAGAAAAGGTCCAAACAATTCAACTCAGGCAGTAACTTGTAACTTTTAACATTTGTCACACTCGAACTCTTTCCAACCTTCATTCCCTCATCATGCCATGCGGACCTCGTTCGGCTTTGCTCCACTCAAGGCTGCACAGATTGTCCCGCAGCAGGGATGTTTCACATAGTTCCCCTCTAGGTATGGCAGGTAGCTGGTGGTACCGATATAAGTCACTTTCTTCCCTATATCCTGTGAGTGTGGCACCGCTGTCATACTTCACTTCATCCCAGTTTAAGCTTTAACTTCTCTTTCTCTATAAGATTTGGGTGATCGGGTAATAAACCTCCCCCAGTTCTAAGATTCGGGAATTCATGGACTACAGTAGTTCGATTGGACCATACCTTTGTAATTCTTTCCCTTCTGTCTGAGTACCCTTGTCCTCTCTTTCAGCTCCATGTTCCTCCTCCTCTTTTCCTTCACCCTCGTCTTTTATAGTCTTGTCCCATCTCATCAAATCCAGCTCCTCCCCTTTTCTTGCTTGTCTACTCTCTGCTAGGAATATCTCTACCACCTTATTTCTCCAAGTTTCTCCCTCTTCTATCTTAATCAATTCTCCCCCTGCACGCCCTGTTATTATCTCTTGTCTGCTCTCATCGGAGGATGGCACACCATGCTGCTGTCCTTCACAGACATGTTACGCTAATGTTGTTAACTTGTAAGAGGAGACTGGTAACATCTGCTTCATCTTGGCTGTACTTTCTCCTTACCTGGTGCAGGTTAATATGCCTAGAAATGTGTGCATTTTTTCATCATCTTAACTGCTTTTTGTGCATGTTCTGCTTTAGTGTTCTTTGATTATTATAAACCAATAAAATAGTTTCTAAGCTTGTCAGCTTATCAAAACTATGCTGATATTATTTAAAGTGTGTTAATTTTACTTCTGTTGGAAAATGCAACTTAAACACCTTTCATTATGAAAACAGCAGAAGGACAGTAAATCTTGGTCAAAAAGACAGTGTACTCTGTAGGGAGTTGGGCTTCATGTTTAAATCTGGGGGCTATTAGCTTTTACATAGTGCACAACACTTGAATGAAAGAATGTGCGTTATTATAATATCTATAGAATTTCCCAAATATGTGACCTCAGTTCAGAGCACAGACGTTAATTAAACTGAATCCATTAATGAATCCAAGATGCATGGAGAGGCATAAATGCAAAGGGGGTCTCAAGATGTGGTTAGGCAGTCTGATGAGGTGACAGAAAAAATAACAAGAAAGAACTGGAAAAGGAAAGACAAAGCCTATTCCAAAGAAGAAATAAAAATAATTTGGGGTTGCTGTGAATATCATGGCAACAGCAGATGTTACTTTATCTGATCCAAGTTATGAATGTGACCCAAATAAATATGCAACTACACAGTGGGAGAAAATGCAACTTGACCTGCTGTGAAGTCAAACTTAGGACATCAGTTCTCCGGAGGTAAATTCACATTAACTGGTCACACAGGGAAAGAGAAGAGAATTGCCAAATAGTATTCACGAAGGCTTTCATGGCTGGGATCTAATGGTTGTTGTGGGTTTTTCAGGCTCTTTGGCTGTGTTCTGAAGGTTGTTCTTCCTAAGGTTTCGCCAGTCTCTGTGGCCAGCATCTTCAGAGGACAGAGTGCTACTCCTGTCAATGTATTTTTGGAGAGGAATGGGGTGAAAAGTGGTACAAATTGGTATTATTGGTTACTTAGTCCCAAGGGAGAGGGAGGGAAATGTTTATTGTGTATTGTGTATAGTCACTAGTGAGTCTGCATTTTAGTTTTATTTCTGCTATTTGTACTTTTCTTTTTATTAATAAATTAAAAAATAAAAATAAAAAAGAGAAACCAAGAGATGAAACAGAAGATGACTAATCACACTACGATTCCTAGCTGCAAGTGTTCTCGTGAGAAGAGATATAGCTCTGCAGGAGAATGTAGAGTATGTGTGTGTGTGTGTGTGTGTGTGTGTGTGTTTAAAATGCCATTATTTGGGAAGAGCTGCCATGGCATCACATC